ACACACACACACACACACACACACAAACACAGAGAAACAGATAGAGGGACTGATCTCACAGATCCCTGTATGTTACAGCCTGTCAGGCCTGTGGCTGATCCCAGTGGGGCCTTGATAAGAGGTTGATGACTCACAGGCTTAAAGAAGGGGCTGTAGGGCTAAAGATTTAAAGACAACTTATAAGAATTTAAATTATAAGAATTTAAATTAAAAGAATTAGAAAGCGACCATTCCATTCTGTCATCATCAGTGCTCTTGATTTCAAATAGACATTTCCTGTTATAAAGATTATTCATTATCATATTATATCATTTTTAACCAGTTTTCTTGTAGTGAGTAACTTTCTTCTAATTGTGTTCAAGCTGCATGATCAATTATTTCAACACATATATTGTAAGTCAGCTTCCTCAAAAACAGCTTGAAGCTCTGTAGCTCACCGAGAACTGTGTGAAAAACCTGGAATCCAACTCAAAAACCCTGAACAGCCAAAGTAGGAGCAAACGTGTGAACGCCTAAAAACAGTGTTCAGCTCTGTACTGCTATTTTACAATCTTTAAATCCACCACACCCCTGAAGCATAATTCAACATGAGAGAGACACAAGCATCATAAAGTTGAGGGAGACATACCAGGGACAATGTGTCTTTTCTGCCCTAGTAAGGCAATTGTCCATTTAAAGGATGGAACTAATCACATGACGATAAACAAACCGTTCAATCATGCTCTGTTTATATATTTATATATGAAACAAAATTGTAACTGCGTACAAACTAGTGACATATCTCATCTTCTTCCTGTGATATCAGTAGCAGGAGGTCACGATGTCAGATCAACACAGAACACAGTGACATTGAGCCTCTCTCAGTTTAATGGGGCATCCACATGTATCAGGTGGTCATACAGCAGCAAGTCACTCATTGGATTACAAGGGAGGGGGGGCAGGAAGTTCAGGTCAGAGACGGCAAAGGTGCAAAGTTGACTCTGGTAATATTTGTTGACTTCTGCGGTGCTTTGAGATGCGTCGGCTCCACCTTGTCTTCCTCTTCTGAGCTGCAGACTGTCACACAAATCCTCTTGAGTTATGTAAGGGTTTATTCCAGTGTACTGCTGTGGAGAGCAACACATGCAGACACGTTCCTCCACAGTCTTCAGGCCCAGCATGTTTCCAGCAGGTTGCAAAATACAACACATCAACCAGATGTTTTTACAACCTGGTGACATTCAGTGCTTTTTATAGTTTTATATTTTATAAAATAAAACTTGCCAAAACTAAACGTGTGAACCAATTTCTAGCCATCTCACTCTCCAGTCTGTGCCTCTCTCTGTGTGAGCAGCTGTTTGAAATACTGAGCTCATGAAAGTAATTTTTCTCCAAACAGTTTGTGGTACATGAATGGAAACTACCTGGTCATCATGGTCTCTGCCAGTATCATCCTGCCCCTGGCTTTAATGAAGCAACTCGGTGAGTAACACAACGTCTGTCTCTTATATTATTTCTTATATTTATTTACTGAGATGTTTCCATCCAACACAAAAGACTATAAATCTGTTGTAACTGATGTCAGTGAGGAATTACACATTTATATTTTAGATTTATTTCATGTTCTCAAGCTGCAGTCCAGGCCCAGAGAGCTATGGAAACCCATTTCTGCCAAGAAAAAAATAACAAGAACAATAAAAAGAACACTCATGGTTAAAAGACAAGGTTACTAGTAAAGATATGACTTAATTAAACAGAGTTAAGATATTTTTGGCGCTTTTAATTTGACAGTAGCCCAACAGCAACAAAACACCATGGCCAATACAGTAGGTTTTTCATTGGGCTGATTTCAGTCTGAATGCCAATGTCGACTTACAGGGCCACCTCACTGTAATGATAATAATAGTAATAGTAATAATTCAGAGTTTTATTTTTCTCTTTTTTTTCTGGTTAGTTTTGGCCTCCGAATGTTTAAGTCTTTTGCTCCAGGGACAGACTTCCTGTCTCCAAAACATTAAGAGACTATTAGTCATAATGTCATTTCACTTCATGGTCCCTCTGGAACATTTGCTGTCTTTTTCTGTTTCTCGTTTTATTGTGTAACTCTGACTAACTTTTAGACCTTTAGTTAAATCATTCTCTTTTGGCTCTCGTCCACTGCATTTCTAAATCATTTCGCTACAGTACGCCTATCTGACCCATGGATTTTCTAGTTTCTTTTCAAGACAGTGTTTCTATCCTCAAGATTTTATTATTAAAAAGATCTTAATAACCTTGAGCCAACCTACATAACGACATTTAGATGGAGCAGGTGCCTGGAAGTCCGGCAATCAGTGTGTTTTTATCCCACCACAGGCAGCAGGAACCAGCAGGGGCCTAATTATACATCTTCTGCCCTGAGATGATCACGCCTTGTATTCCAGTCTGAGCTGTTCGCTTCAAATTAAAATAAACAGGCTCTCTCTGATCTCATTGTGCTGTGAGGTCATCCACAGGGCCAATTTTGTGGGTGTTATTGCAGAAGCCGTGTTTATAGAACAGTAGGAAATCCTCTTACCGTAAACTTTGTGGAACTTCTTATGTAAGGAATAAAGATTTCCACAGCTCCAAACAACACATGCAATCAAAAAGGATTCGTTTGTTTTAAGGAGACGTGTCAGTGACGACCTTTTCGTCTGTATTTCCAGGTTACCTCGGCTACACCAGTGGATTTTCCCTCAGCTGTATGGTGTTCTTTCTCACTGCGGTAAGTCGGTGCCGCTCACATAGTGGAGATTCATCACAGTGACTCCTCACAAGGAGCCTCATGTGCTCTGGCATGTCACCTTGGCACATACGTTACCCACTTTCCCACCCTCGTCTCTTTCCCACCCTCGTCTCTATTTCCAGTGGCATGTGGTCATGTTTGATAAGGCGAATATAAGAGCTGCTTAGAGACATCAAAGGTCGAGTGTCAAACCTCGGAGGCTGGGACTCGCTAATCTGATGTGAAATGGCCTTTTTTCCCCTTCCAGCTTAACGCCAATGGTTAAGAGCTCTCATTTACTGACTCTGACACTTCCCCTCATCCTCATCACATCTTTTCTCAGCTTTCCTCCATTATTATCCATCTCTCCGCAGGTTATCTATAAGAAGTTTCAGATCCCCTGCCCGTTCGAGGAGTTCTCAGCCAACAGCACTGCTGCCCACCTCAACGTGAGCTTCTCAAGCCACGGCCACGAGTACACCAATGGTGTTGTTCACGCAGACGATGACGACTCCCACTGCTCCCCACGCATGTTCACCATCAACTCTCAGGTAGGCGGCTGAGGTCTGAGGATGCAGTTTGCATATATGAATCGTCTTTGAACATCGAGTTCTGCTGCTGTCCCAAATCTTAGTTTGCTCACTTATTTTTGGGGCTTGGTGGAGCTACTAATCCTAAACTGTCATCTGTTTACGTGTCTATCCACAGACAGCATACACCATTCCCATCTTGGCTTTCGCTTTTGTTTGCCACCCTGAGGTCCTGCCCATTTACACCGAGCTTCACAAGTGAGTCATCCCTCTGTAACCAGCAATATTTGATGACAGGTCAGTGCAGAATGTGGCCTTCATGTGACTCTCACCTCCTCTGATTTCAGCCCAACAAAGAAGAGGATGCAGAAGGTGTCCAACATCTCCATCTTTGTCATGTACAGCATGTACTTTCTAGCAGCTCTCTTCGGCTACCTGACCTTTTACGGTGAGAACAGCTGTCCTCGGCACCTCTGTAGGAGTTTGTAGATGAATACGAAGGAAATGTCCAAATCAAATCACTTGTTTGATCAGTGTTTTTTATTGTCGAATGATACACAAGAGAGGCTTTTTGGAAAAGATAACACACAATTAAAAGCTAGTTCTAGGTGTCAGATATTTCAATTCCTTTGTTTTGCTGATTTCCTTGTCTTGCAGTGTTTAAATTTACATCATCATCTAGAAATCATGTATGTAGCAATTTTTTAATTTATATATCCAGAGACATGTTTCACACTCGTAACCATGTTAGAAAATCTAGAGAAATTGGGCCTGGAAGAAAAGAATGGCAGTGATATGTCACAAGGGGGCGCTGCTGTCTGGTTCGGCTGTAATTTGTGATTTTAAATAATAAGACTTAAATTTTACTGCAACATTGTTGCATTGAGTATAATATCAGCAAAAAGATAAAGTATTTTATCAATATTTTCATACGAGAAAATGATCCTTACATTCATTTGCATTTTACATTTAATGTTCCTATTTTAGCAGTATTAGTATATAGATACTCAATATTCATGTTAGTATTTTCTGTTTTAAAGAAAAATCATTGAATGAGCTTTACAAACAATTTACTTTTCTACTTTTTCCTTCAGTACACACGGATCAAAAGCTCCCTCTTGTGGTGACTCTTTGTTATAACGATATGGCCCTGAAGGTAGTGAATAAACATTTCTTCTCTTTGTATATTCCTGCAGGCAACGTGGAGCCAGAGCTGCTGCACACCTACAGCCGCATCGATCCTTACGACAATTTGATCCTGTGCGTGCGTGTTGCCGTCCTCACTGCCGTCACACTGACCGTCCCGATTGTGTTGTTCCCTGTGAGTGTGTCGTGGATGTTGTTCCCTGCAGTGCTTGGCAGATGTATTTCTGTGGCAGCATGTGATCATTAAAACTATTCATCTGTCCTCAGGTGCGTAGAGCCATCCAGCAGATGCTGTTCCCCACCAAGGCTTTCAACTGGTGGCGTCACACAGCCATCGCTATCGTTCTGCTCACCTTCATCAACATGCTGGTGATATTTGCCCCAAACATTCTGGGCATCTTCGGCATCATTGGTTCGTATAAAACCAGTGTCACAAATGTAAATTATATTAAAAATAAGTGACGACCCACTCCCCGCAGCCTGGGCCTTTATCATTAGCTCCTTTAGTTAATGTCTCAACTAATATTTTTACTTTTGAAAAGCTTGTTGTGGGAAATGTCTGATATCACAATTAAATCAAAAAACAGCATTTCATGTTTCATAGGATCGATTCTACACATGCGTGATCATTGGTTACTCATTCGGTCTCTGTTTACAGACTGAAGTCTTCTGTTTGACGTGGCAGTGTCTTTCAGCCTTTCTAGTTCCTGGCACAAAAAACACTCATTAAAAGCAAAACTAAAAAACGTGACTCGTGCATGTTTGCTCGAGGACAAATTGACGGCCTGAGTCAATATTATTGTCGTGCTGGGTCCTTAGATCAGAGGCCATCTTTCACAGGTCAGAGGTAAAAGTTGAAAACATTTAAGTAAAAGCTCCACCAAGGACACCTTCAAAGCAACGGTTTCTGCCCTGACAAACACGCCGAGGCATTTAAAGTACACATATGGGAGTATGTACGGGGCGTCCTTTATACACATGATGGTAGCACACAAATACAGCTCACACAGGTGATGCACTATAGGGAGCTGTTTGCAGCAAACTTTGTACTGTATGTTTAAAACTCACAATCTGGGATTTAAGCTGTTTTAACAACAAAAAGGCTTTATTACAAAACTGACTAAAAATGAATTCTAGTAAAGGACAAATACTTAATTAATATTCATGAAGAAAATGAATTAATGAATAAACAATAATTCAATAGCTACTTAAAAGCAGCCATTATTATTTTGTATATAGATTTTTGATCTTTTACTCTGTTGTTGAATCATTTTTCAATTCTACAGGTAACTTACATTTACTAAGAACATTTTTATACTTAGAAGTCCATTCATGACATTTCCCTTGATCATACAGTTTAAGTTAATTATAGCACATGACACTCGAGAATGTAACATCTGTTCAAATACACATGGATCCTCAGTTCAGTTGAGAAAATCAATACAAAGGGAATAATTATCACTGCATTCAATAAATCAATAAATCTGTGTATAATGTTTTAATGTTTGATCTTTGACCAGTCCTCCCTCTTCGTGTTTCCAGGTGCCACGTCGGCTCCCTGCCTCATTTTCATCTTCCCCGCCGTTTTCTACATTCGCATCGTCCCCAAAGAAGACGAACCCATGAGCTCTGTTCCTAAGATACTGGTGAGGCATCGAAAGCTCTGTTGTGTCGTCTTGAACCATTAATTTAACTTTGTGATTCAGGATTTGTGTTGCATCTTAATAATTAATCTTCTCCACCACTACTGTGTTCTTCCCTCGTTCTCAGGCTGCCTGCTTTGCTGCTCTGGGCGTCTCCTTCATGGTGATGAGTCTGAGCTTTATAATCATCGACTGGACGATGGGGAGCAGCCATGCCGCAGGAGGCCACTAGAGGCTGCGTCTGTGTGTGGGCTCAGCAAACGGGGAAAAGTACTGGTCAATGTAAAATCGGAGCACTATCACCTCAGTGGGAACACACTACAGTGCTGGCCAGCACACAGCCGGGGGGTTGTAACAGTAAACAAACGTACAGTATCGAATGTGGGTTGGAATCACATTTGGATTGACCAAGTCGAATTAACCCTTTGACACTTTTCCGAACAAAATCCTCTCATAACAATGTTCAATAATTCAATTTAACGCAGTGCAATGGTGATAATGTAATTTATATGAATAATCAGGAACAAACAGGGTCTCTTTGATTTTTACCATCATTTGCTTGTGTGACAAAGTCCACACCCTCGATGGAGAAATGGTCCTTTCCTGTTGCTTCCTCTTTATTTACACATAAACAGATGCAGCAGGTACTGTATAGAAGAAAGTTGCTACGATCGTGTTTTAGGCGTCGAGATACACACAAGAGATGACAAAAAGCTTGCAAGTTATTTTTACACAAAGTTTTTTTCGCAAGACGCACAAAACGGGACTCACCCTGAACCAGCAGCACTCTGAACTGTAAGATAACACAACAAGTGCTTTAAAGCCCTAAAGTGTGGATGACACTTCATTTCCCAGAGTTCTGATTATTATCATTATAATTTTACAGTTCAAACTTTTATTTCTAATTAATGAATCAGCATTATTTTTAACCAACACAGATGCCTTTCAATATTTAGAACAACACAGTAAAAACAGAAATGTATATTTATTTAGCTACTGTCAGTGTTTTTAATTTCAGATATTTAACTACTGTATATGATGAAGGTAATTTTGTTTTAGATCACAGCACAGTATAGAGTTAATGGAAGGTGTTCCAGGCTGACAATACTTTGAATATTTGTTACAATATTACTCGATTGATTTGAGAATCCTTGATAGATATTTAGCACATATGCCAAACTGTGACATTGAATATGAACCAAGTACAGTTCAAGTTTACCCCGACAGTTCACATCTCATGAGCCTCTTTAATTCTTGATCATATTCACCTTTATATTTCGCATTAAGTCCGTAGCCCACATTCACAATAAAAACCCCTGATACGTGCTACATATTCTGTAACTACACTTTCCAATACTTTGTAGAAGTTTTACGATTCTTACACTGAGCAAGAATTTAAAACCAATGAGCCATAAATAATAATTTTTCTGTAAATGTTCCCATTTCTTTGTCTTCCTGAGAGTTAGTTAAGGATATTGATACCACTGTAATGTATGCGTGTAACAACAGCAGCAGCCAGGAGAGTTATTTTACCATAACGATTGGACAAAAGGGAACAAATATTCAAGTAGATGAATACATGAACCCATTAGAACTGTTCAAGTTCACCAAATATTGTTTATTAACCTGAAGCATTACAAGCAGCAGGCTCCTCGAAGTCACTGTGACCAGCCAAGAAATTGTACGGTAGATAATCCCTATAAGCACAAATCAATTTTACACTTCAGTTTTTGTTTAAAATACTTTTTTAAAACTAGTTAATGCTCTTTAGAACATCTGACCGTTGGATATCTTTAACTTTATCAGAGTCTGTATAACTGTTTCCCCCATTTACACTCTTCGTGATAAGCTAAGCTAATGTGCTGCCGCTCTGTTGTGTTTAACAAAAATACATATATATGGTATTGATCTTCTCATCTAATTCTCAGGAAGATGGCGACTAAGCACATTTCTCAAAATGTTAAATTTATTTTAACTGATCTAGAATTGAAAGGGTCCAAGTGAATAAATATTGTGTCCAGCCATGCAGATAGTTTTAGTTTTACTTACTTGGGTTTTGAGATGCATCATATGGATGAAAGTATGTGGACACCAGCACAACCTCAACATCTCAAAATGATAAGCAAGCAAAGCCAAACTCCACTCGGCTGGGTGCAATAGAATCTTTTTTGTACAATGCCTGGCCAAGCAACATGAATATATAAAAAGAGTAGAGTTCAAGTGAATTTCTTTTTTAATTTGAAGATGTATTAATCTGTTGTAGTTCTGCTTTGACGTCTTTGCTGTTCTGGTTTGTAGTATTTTGATTTGCTTTCACACTTGATGAACATTTAGACTTGAAGTTCAAGTTTTGCATGTGGTAATGTCCAGTCCGTCCTCCAGTTGATATAGGGAACTACACTGTGAGTGATTATCCGTCCGTATTCAATTGGCATTTTAAAGTGAAGTGGATTGGACTCTCAATCTGTGCTATAGTTACCATAGTGTTATATTAGTATTTTGAAGCCCTTCTTAAATGTTTTAAACATTACTGTTGTGATGTTCCGTCAGCGATGACACGTTCAATCCAAGGTTGATTTAGGGATGTGGACGATCACTTCCAGACTGACAAACTGGGGGTATCTATACAGATATCTATATATCTATATATCGATATATAATTTCACAAATGAATGTTAATGTAAAAAAGTATGTTTTGAAACAATGCAACATTTTGAGCTTTTGAACTCAGACAAATGTTACGACAAATACTTGGTGCTTGTAGCCAAAGATGGTTTTATATTGTTATGTGGCTCTCAAGCTTCAGAAAAGTTCTGTTTAAATCACTACATCTCTCGTATTATTTATGTATTCTTCTATTGTTTGTGTTGTGTTTGTTTAAGGATTTCTGATTTCCGATCAAGGTGTTTTTAACAGACAAATTCTGAACAACGGCAGGAGAAATATTCAGTGCACGTATCAACCTCCGTCCCTTGCTTTTCCATGTATATTTGCTGTGGCTGCTGTGGTGTGAGCTACATGAAGGGTTCCTTTTGTCATGTTTAGTGATTTCTTGAGGTGATCATGCCAAAATAACAACTGACTACCTACTGCTTTGAAATGCCTTTAACTTTGGAACAGATCCCACAGATTAAAAACCAGACAAACTATATCAAATATGCATTTTTCCTGTAATCAAATCTCTGTGCTATTTTATTATAGTCTAACAGTTTTTCAAGATGTTAATCTATGAAATGACACAACTATAAGTAAATACTAAGATATATGGAATTCTGGTGAATAAGATGTGGCTTTATATGAATGATGTACATAAATCTAAACCTTTTATATTTGTGATGCATATTTACAGTAGCTTGTAAAGTGTAAATAGAAGGGACAGTTTTAGTTTGGCATTAAAATAATTGTAGATGTTTTTGCATTGTCTCATCATTTACCCTTTACTGAAAGTAATTATTTTGAGCAACTCCAATTTCAGGTGACTGAATTAAATATTCTCAGTTGATGACTTGCGTTGACATTTTTTTGTGTTCAGACTTTCCTGAAATGTTTAAATATGCAAATTAGGTAACTTCTAATTAAGTATGTTCCAATTTACATAATTTCTAGGAAATCGGATAAAAGATTTACATTCCTTCCTCATACTGTCAACAGTGTGTAAAAATACACATTTTTTATTGTTTTATGAATAACATGTTAGTTATATCAGGCTGTGAATTATACATGAACATAAACCTCTATAAGAACCTCCAGGATATTGACCGGAATTAAAGTGGAAAGTCTGGTAAGTGCTGCTGAAGAGAACATTTCTGGCTCAGATTGTGAGGGAAAAAAAACTATCTTTAGGCTTTTCAAAATTGAAGTTTACAAACAAAGTGAAGTAACGTGTTTCAGATTTTTTTCCTTCAGCAAGTCTGAAAGAGAACATCATCTAGAAACTAAACAAACCTAAATGTCAAAGATCACCACTGACCACTGCATGAAAAGTGTAACGAAGTAACAAATTAATGTTGCTGTTAAGAAATGAATTTTATTCCTTTGAATAATATTTATACATTTGATTTTTGTTTTAAATATACTAGTTTAACACACAGACATTTACTTAAGTGCATTGTTGAAAATTAGAGTTGCTCTCTATCTGATCAGTGTTCTTATCTGTCATAGTTAAACTGTTTTTATAAAAAACACTAACCTGAATTGTAGGTCATCATGACCCCTGACGTTGCTGTGTCAACACACGGCTGGTTTCACTGTAACAAAGAAGAAATATATCATTAAGATGTGTTTGTAGTCAAAACATTAGACAAGGCATGTTGAGTTTCTAACAACCCAGCCGATCTAATCGGAAATTTACTGCTAGGCTATATTTAACAACCCAGACGAGAACAAATGATCTGAATGTACCAGACTGTAGAAGAAGAAAGAAACTTGCTGCAGAGACGAGTGAGCCACAATTAAAAGACACATGAGATCTGGATTAGATAAAGAGAACACACTGGTATTGATGAGTGCATTGGATGTGGCCCTATTTCTTTCTATTCATTTATTTTGGCTTGATGATTGTGAAAACTTGTATTTGCTTCGGGAAAAGGCTGAGACTGAATTGTAAAACTTATCATTGACACAATAGTAATAGATGAAAATCATTTTTTCTATTGATTATAAGGTGACAACGAGAATTACCACCACCAACTGTTGATTTTACTGTTCAAAATATTTATCATTTTGCTTCCTCTGACTTTTTTCCTCATATGCCATTTGCACATTTGAATCATTGTTTTAATTGTCCGCTATTATATTGTGTGCTCTATTTCTAATGGAAGATGCTATATAAATAACATGTACCGTTTATTATTATTATTATGATTATTATTATAGATGTCCAGTAATTGGCAAGAGACAAAAGATGAGTCCATTAGGAGGCGCTGTCCACCAACACTTCAGTCGGAGTAATTCCATGCCAAATGTTTCATAATCGTTTTCCTCATATTTAACAGCTCGTCCCTCATCTTTACAAACACTGAGCTGCTCCTGCACAGCTCTGTCCACCTCCTCAGTCCACCTCTGTCCCCTCACACTGTGGATCACGGTCCTGACACATGCGGGGGAACGGTGCTGGCACAGCGGCCACTGCAGTCTGCTGCGCACCGCGCTCCTCGGCTCCACTCACGCATCACTGGCTCCCGCCCTCTAATTGGTGCCACAGCCGCTCACCTGCTTTAATTGGACCGTCGCGACGAGTCGTCCGAGTGACGTGGATGAGACTCGACCTCAGCTCTCAGTTTGTCTCGGGGATTCATCAGTGCATCAGCCTGGAGTGACCAGAGACACGGGATCTGCTGCAGTCTCTGGTGTGCGTGTGTGCGTGTGTGTGGATGCAGGACAGACATGGATCAGCTCTAACAGCCTGACTCTGTGTTGTGTTAAACAACACACGATTGTGATGCATCTGTGAGCCTCTGCGTGAGAAAGGGGAGAAGCAGCAGGGACATTGACTTTTGACGCGCGGGCACAAACTCTGGAATCGGCTGTTTTGCTGCTGGAAGCTGAAGCTGCTCCATTGATATTCTTGGCATCGCCTGGCAAAGCTGAACCCGTTTTTGCACTGAAGCCTCGTTCTGTCTCGTTCTGTTTGCACAAGTGGTCGCTGCGCCCCTGCGTCTGGAGCCATGGGCTGCACGGTGAGCGCCGAGGATAAGGCAGCCGCGAAGAGGTCAAAGATGATTGACAAAAACCTGCGAGAAGACGGAGAGAAGGCGGCCAGAGAAGTGAAACTGCTTTTATTAGGTAGGTGACTGCAAAAATACATATTTATGTAAAAAAAAAAAAACTCCACCTGATTCTACATTTAACATGATCTGATAAGAAACCAAGCAGCTAAATGTGATGAGGTCATAGGTCAAAGTATGGGAAAACAAAATAATATAACATTTTCTGTGGAGTTTGTGAATAAAGAGAACTAAGCACCAATCGCTATCAAACCACATCACTAATCCTCAGTAGGCAAGATAAGTTTATTTATAGCACCACACAGACACAAGTTCTGAGAAATGCATTTCACACGAGTGAAAACATCACTAGGATTATTTTATATTCAGTTATCCCTTCACCTAAATGTCAAACACTGGACCTTTAAAAGACATTAAAAACAGAAACCCACCACGTGCCACATTAGCTGTGGTGTACAAACACCTTGTGTGAGGCCATTTCAACCTTATGTTTCCATGTCATTAATTAGCCAGCACAGGTCTATAAACCTGGAGATAAGTCAGATACCATCACGTCAGCATGTTGCTTCAGCTTCTCAGAGCTCGGCGTGTTGGCCTCCTGCCCAGGAAACTCAAATTCACTGCATCAAACATGTGGAGAAGGACCATTACATTAACAGGCTCACACTGAAACACACAGAGCCTCATCTCACAGAATCAACAATCCCCGGTTAAAAAAACAGCTTTAATTAAACTGAGTAAGAAGCCAGAAGAAATCACATTTCTTGTGCCTCTCAAACACAACTTCCCACTTAGGACCAATTTCACACTCATCCAATTCTGCTGCATGTGTTTGCCATCATCTTGTTCTTGATTTGTCTTTCTTACATAGTCAACTGACTGGAACTAAAATTTATGAAACCGAGGAGTGAGAGTGTGTGTGTGTGTGTGTGTGTGTGTGTGTGTGTGTGTGTGTGTGTGTGTGTGTGTGTGTATGGTTGGATCTGTGTCATCTTGCTTTGACAAGCTGTTAACAGGGGACAGGATCGACTAAGTGTCGGAGAGCTGCAGGTTGGTTGGTTGAGTTTTGGCAACATGGAGTCAGAAAGATTCACTTGTTAATTATCAGCTTCAGAGGGAATCTGATAAATATCAGTGTCATGATCTTAAATTTACCCTTCAATCAAACAGTGCTTTTAAAAAGACATGATTCAAAACTAGCTGATGTGGAAATCCAGCAGTGTTTGTTCATGTGAAGATGAAAAGCTCCTGGTGTAACTGTGGCTTCTTTCCATCTCATTAAATACAGACCTGTGTTTATTTACACAGCAGCAACAATCATGTCATCTTGATGTGACCTCACACACCTGTAGATGAGCTGTGTGTCTTTGAATGTGATGTCAACACAGTGGAGCTGTTGTCACTTTGAGAAGTTGTCTGCTGCAGCAGAGAGAAAAGCATAATTTATAAAATATAGGAAAAGTGGAAGTGGAGGAGCAGGTTTCTGTTGAAGCAGCTATGTGCACCTGTGCTTTTCCCACTATGTCAAACCAAAACGTCTCCTCGTGTACCATTGTTTGTTTGGTATCCAGTAGCATGAACAGGACTCCATCTTTAAAGAAATAGATGCAACAACCGTGTTAAATGACTAACTAACGTGGGGCGGCTGTGGCTCACAAACCAGATGGTCGGCAGTTTGATCACAGCCCCAAATTGCCCCTGTGGTTGATGTGTGATATAGAGAGAGTGCTGTGTGAATGTGTGTGTGAGAAGTGGCTACATAAATACAGACCATTTAACTCACTTAAGGTTTTGCTCCCACCAGGTTTTTTTTTAGTATAGTATTATTATTAATTTTTCGGCTTCACAGTGCCAAGATTAGCAACTACATTTTTTCTTTGTTGCTCAATGTGACAAATTAACAATCACAATAAATCCAAATAGATTCTGTTTACTAGAGAAAACTGTGGAAATCAGAAAGAATAGGATAAATATAAATATAATTTATCTGTTATCAAATTAGTTTCAGATTCTTTTTAAATCCATTGGTTAATTGTTGTATCTCTAATATTCATGATCTCGTGTTATAATTTCCTGTTGTCCACATCAATGATTCTGAGTGATGCATTAATTAAAAAACGTCTTTAACTTTTAGGAATACTAATATGCATACGTTGGTATCTTAAAATTAGGTCAGTGAATCTTATTGGTAATTTAATTTAATACATTTTCCATTAATATCCTTGTTATATTTCAACCACATCCCATGAGGCTACGTCCAACAAATGATGAGGAGCACACGTGTTAATGACTCATATTTTTTAACATGTATATCTGTCGGGTCTCATCCAGTATTTACTGTAAATTAAGGAAATTACATTAAAGATATGTAAATTCCCTCATCTCATCACACTGCACACTGTCTCTCTGCATGGCCATGTTTCTCCTCGGCCTTGTTTTCATGGGTCGACTTCAGTTCTAAATCCAACAGCTATTCATTATTAAAGTGATCTGACATCTTCAATGAGGTCGTTGATATGATTCAATCTGTCTGTGTTTATGAGCAGAACCAAATCCCCTTATAGCTGAAAATCCAGTGTCTGTTTCAATAAAACAACAAAACGACAACAAAAAATCAATAAGGATACAAGAGTCAGTGTGATTTGTGTCCGAGTGCTAACAACACACACGGTCTGATGCCTTTCTAGGCAACATAAATATTTGACTAGGTGTCCAGAGGAATTATACGACACAGATTTTGAAAAGTATGGGTGGTTATGGAGTCTCTCTTGCCCGGGTGCCTTTACTTCCTGAAAGGTTGTGGTGACTCCAACCACACCGAGCTGGGATCAAGCCTCTCCATCGCAGCTGTGCTGGTGTCACTGGGAGTTCGGACTCAGTATATTGAGCCACATTTTGTGATTCTCTGATAAACTCACAGTTGACCAACATCACATTATCACGCTGGCGTTTGCTTTCCATCATGATATCAGTCCTTAGAACATCAGGGAAGGAGACTAACAAACAAATTCAAGATGACCTTGTTGACATTTCGCTCGAGGTTGAGCCGAGGACATTGTGGTCGTGTTTGTTTAGTTTGTGCACGAGAAGATACCAACTTGTTAATGCCGCCAGTGGAGCATGAGAGGGTGCATCACAACCTTTTAATGGCTTTGCAGTATTTGGCCAATGTTCTTTTGAGATGGAGTTCTCAAGGGAACTAATAAGATTTGCAGAATTTGTACCATTTGGCCACAAATGTCATCCGCAGGTGATTTTCTAAAACAGCTCATGGTTAGTCAGAGTGAGGACGGACAGTCAGAGTTGATGAACATTGTGTTGAGATGTGTCATAAATAGGTTATGTACATGAAACCATATTTGAGCATGAGAAAATAGAACTTGGCAGGTCTGTAAAAAACTCACTACTGCTCCCACTGTTGTGAGAAAACACTGATTTCACAATATTGCACCATACTCCAGAGCTCTCTGTGTCACCAACCAGCCAGATAGCACGTCTTCATCAGTGTCAGAACAGGGAAGAAAAGCCCATGTTGCAAAAGTCTCTGACGTTACATCTCAGAAAGTGATGATCATCAGTGCTCAACATATTTACCTATTGATTCATCTTTTTTGATTTATCAGTATTACCCAGATGTTTTTGTTTAATATTGATAATATGAAGTTGTAGATCGCCAACTCATGGGTCTGGACACGAGCATCTGTAGAGGTGGATCTCACAGAAAGACCACGAAGGCCTCACTGCTGCTGGTAAAGCTTTTCTCATTTGAACTGTTGACAAGATTTTATTGGATAAATCAAACTGAAATAGTAGAAGTAGAAGGAACTAAAAGTATTGGATTGTTTAAAGAAGTTTGGATCAGTAATAGTACTGACCTTTATGCATTTGGTTTTTGGAGGAGGAATTCAGCTTGTCTAGCTTCTGCATGTTCATTTTACTGACTCTATAGAGTGGCAACACTATCACTACAGAGCAATCACAGCCTTAAGTGCAGACAGAAATTTCATCCCTCAGAAAACTGCACAATGATCTTTTTGCTCTGAGAAGTGAACATGACAATGTTGCAGATGAGTCCTGGATTATCGATCCCTATACAGAAGCAATATGTGCATAAATATAATATAACACAAATGTGTTTCTTAAATTAAGGTATAAAATATA